GTGTCGTGGCTTTAGGTCTCTCTAAAGCATTTGATAAGGTTTGGCATGTCGGCCTTCTTCGTTAGCTTCAGGGATCACGGAATTGCATTCCTGTCAAAAGGCGTAATGAAGGTCGCCCTAAACGAATTCTCCTCTAGTTCTTTTCTTACGAACGCAGGTGTCCCCCAAAGCTCTATCCTGGGTCCTACACTGTTTTTGACCTTCATTAACAATCTTCCCGATGTCATCAGGTCACAAGTAATTATCTATACAGACGACATCACTATTTACTCCTACTTCAATAGCAAATCTGCTATTGTTGACAAAATTAACCTGGCCGCTGTTCTCGAAAAGGCCCGCCAATCTGTGATTGACTAGGGCGAGAAATAGCTTATAAACTTTAATGCCTCAAAAACAAATCTGCTCCCTTTTACCCATCACAGAGAACCCTCTGAATGTCTGATGCTCAACTCCACGAGAGCACCTCTCTGCGCATGCTTAGTCTCACATTATACGCTGAACTGAGATGGAACAAATACATTGTATCAACAGCTTCATCCACTGTAAGGAAACTTGGTTCTATGTCCCGAGCCAGAATGTTTTTCTTGCCTGAGTCCATCGTTCAAATCTATAACTCAGCCATTTGCATCAACCTTGCATGGAATACTGCTGCCATATATGTCTGGAGCCCCTGCTGTTTGTCTTAATGTTCTGGACAAAATCCAGAAACTGATATGCAATGTGATTGGTCCTAATCTGGCATCTCGTCTACAGTGGATTTCTCACAGACGTGCCGTCGCCTCCCTTTGTCTTTTCTACAAATATTTTCACGGAAACTGTTCCGACGAGCTACTTTCGCTGGTTCCCAAACTGCATGAATTTAAGCGTGCTACGAGGTTGACATCTGAGTCCCACTCTTTCACTGTTGAAACTGTTAAATGTAGCCGTCTCTTCTACTCCAGTAACTTCATGTCTCGCAATTCCCGTGTGTCGAACTCCTTTCCTCTTACTTGCTTCCCTGGTAGCTATAATCTTCAATGATTCAAATGCAATATCAATCTACATCTTTAGATGCCTTAATCTAATTCCCCGTCCTTCTCTTCATTGTTTCCTCTATCACGTCTCTTTACTCTTGTCCCCACTATCTTTAACCCCTTGCGTGCTAGGGGCACTCCTGCTTTGCTTGGGGTGAAACTCTTTAAAAAAAAGGAATAGAAAGAAAAGTACAGTTTATTGTATGAGATTTCGGCCATTACGGCAAAGGAAAGAAACATGTTATAGTTTGTGAATATTGATCTAGTCGGGTACGTTTAGACAGAAAAGAATTTTTCTGTTACAATTCCTCTTGTCTCAAAATCAATGCCTGGCATCATAAAATCTCTCGCTAGAGATAGATAAATATTGCATTCGTCGATCACAGTCGACGTGAGCAACACTTGCCTTTGCTGTGTCCTGACACAAAACTATAATTTTCTTTTCCATTGGGTGTAGTTACTATGTATCGAATCGCCCAATCTTTTCAGTTTATCACCACTGTGTGATTGGGACAGGATTTGAGAGAATAATATATATCAGAGAATTTTTTTAAGCATTTCACCCCAAGCAAGTCGGGTGTGCCACTAGCATGTAAGGGGTTACATCGAGTGAGAGCAATAGTAAAGAGGGGGGTGTTTGAGGAGAGGACATAGAGAAGGACAGGGATCGGTATCAAGGTATCAGAAGATGTCGATTGGCATTATATTTGAAGATTATAGCTATCATGGAAGCAATTAGGAGGAAGGGAATTCCACTGTCGGAAGAAGCTGTTGGAGTAGAAGAGGCGGTTAAATTTAACAGTTTCAACAGTGAAAGGTTGAAACCGAGATGCTAACCTAGTAGCACGCTTAAATTCATGCACCTGGGGTACCAGTGAAAGTAGTTCGTGAGAACGGTGGCCATGAAAATATTTGTAGAAAAGACAGAGGGAAGCTACATCACGTCTGTGAGAAAGTGACTGTAGACGAGATGCCAGATCAGGAAATATTACAGATAGATTTGTAGATATGAAAAACCTTCTGGTGCCTCACAGAAGACCAACTTTTCTTGCGGTAGATGAAGCTATTGATTCAATAAATTAATGGATGTATATTCTTAGTAACTTATCGATAAAAAAGTGAACAGTTTTATAATGTAAATAGCGTCGGAGAGCACAGTTGGCAGTGATATTATGATTGAATTTGAATGTGAATTTGATGAAATGCATTAGCGTGCTCGGAAAGTACATACGTTTTAATCAGGAAAGATTAAGAAACTAATAAAAGTTAATCTATAAATTCATCTCTATCTATAAAAGGCAGGATGTGTGTGTGTGTGTGTGTGTCTGTGTGTGTAACAAATGCACGGCCGCAATTTTCAACGGGTTTGCACCAAAAATTTACATGCACATGCTCCAAGTTAGCACGAAGGCCAAGACCAATCGATAGTGGAAATAATCGATTTTTCATGCTTCTACGACAGTTTTCATGTAGTTTGCGGCCATTTTGTACTGGCCAGAGTGAGAGCCTATAGCTGGCTGCTACGAATAGGCGATAAGATTCTATTGGCCAGCGTGAGATCCAACAGCTGACTGACACGAATGTTAACTAGCATGCTAGCATGCAAAAAATTTAAATCTGCATGGGACTTTACTCCAATTGACTGATTCGCTTGCTTAAACTCAAAGTTGATTCGGATTCCGCAGAACTGGGTTGCGAGTGAAAAAGTATTTGTTGTTAACATTCTTTTTTCATTCGGTTTTTCCAGTTACGAGTTCTTTTTTAAAGCTGATCGTTTTGTGTTCATTTTGTTTAGTTCTTTTTTCGTAACAGATTTAATGTTTATTATAGAGCTTAGAAAAAATTCGCAGTGTGAGATAGGCAAGAAGTAAGGCATGTAGCAACATCAGCACAGCAAAAGGCACTCCTTTAAAGGCAAGGAAGGGCAAAAATATTTTAAGTCAAGTGATAACGATTGCTGTATGAGTCGTACGATTTTTGAATGGAGCACGGGCAACGCCGGGCCATGCTGCTAGTATATATATATATATATATATATATATATATATATATATATATATATACACTATTTTAGAAAATGACGTTCTCATAATATTTGTTGCTTCGGCCGTTGTACCTTCCAATCTTCAACGGGTCTAGGTTGATTAATAAAGATAATTGATAATGACAAACGAAAACTACTGGCTGCTCTTTCAATGAAAGCCAAATGTTTCCTTATAGGGAAATGGCTAATACTATTATTACCATTCGGTCCAGGATATAAACAAAGAGGTATTTTAATGCTTAAGTTCTAATGGGTTTATTCATGCCAGTACTGAATTCACGCATTTTCCCGTGAGATTTACAGTATGAATAGAAAACGTATTTATCCAATTTTATTCGGATTACGCCAAGCAGATAATGGAAGCAAAGATAATTTGAAAAATAGAAACACAACAATAGAAGAACAGAATCGTAAAAGATCTAGAGACAATTAAATTGCAGTAGTTGGAATCAAGTACCATATGCTGAAAGGTATGATCAAGGCTCTAATATTTTCTTATAAATATATCTTTAATTCTGAAATTTAGAACGAGTACCGAGAAATGAGTAAAGGAATGTGTTGTCCACGTTCCCCGGGAGAATAAAAACACATTTATGGATATGCAAAGGAGAAGAGGGGAAATTTCTCCTACACCCCAAAATGAAAGGCTATTATTTCACTTTTTCAATTGGTAAGTCATACTGATTTCAGTGAGTTGAACAACTCTCTTTTTCTATCGTTTCTTTGGTACATATTTTTTCAGTGATTGTATTCTTGGCACAACGATAAATAATACCATAGAATAACGCCCATGCTAATATTCTGTTCACTTTTACCTATCCCCCTCCCCTACCACAAAATAACAAAAACAGAAAAGAAGTTTTTATATGCATAATAAACTTGTCTATATGTCTATTCATGTACGAAATGCTACTGAAAATTTAAGGAAATTTGATCAAATTGATCAATCTACTCATCCACCAAGTAACGCCGCATTTCCCTCCATGACGCTGGACATTTCACAGTTTCTTCAAATTATTGCGCCAGAAAATAAAGAACCTCATTTCATATATTTTGCTTTGACGAAACTTTTATATATTAGAAACCGCATTAACACAAACAATCACACACCTATCTATCTATCTATCTATCTATCTATCTATCTATCTATCTATCTATCTAGTTTCTGTTCATATCTATCTATCTATCTATCTATCTATCTATCTATCTATCTATCTATCTATCTATCTATCTATGTAGTTTCTGTTCATATCTATCTATCTATCTATCTATCTATCTATCTATCTATCTATCTATCTATGTAGTTTCTGTTCATATCTATCTATCTATCTATCTATCTATCTATCTATCTATCTATGTAGTTTCTGTTCATATCTATCTATCTATCTATCTATCTATCCATCTATCTATTCAGTTTCTGTCTATCTATCTATCTATCTATCTATCTATCTATCTATCTATCTATGTAGTTTCTGTTCATATCTATCTATCTATCTATCATCTATCTATCTATCTATCTATCCATCTATCTATCTATGTAGTTTCTGTTCATATCTATCTATCTATCTATCTATCAATCTATCTATCTATCTATCTATCTATGTAGTTTCTGTTCATATCTATCTATCTATCTATCTATCTATCTATCCGTGTTTCTTTATCAAATCTATCTATCTATCTATCTATCCGTGTCTTTTAATCAAATGAATCTATCTATCTATCTATCTATCTATCTATCTATCTATCTATCTATCTATCTATCTATCTAGCATTGTATTGTTCAAACTTGTCATACTTGTAGCGGTAGAGTAATCTATATATGTGATATCATATTTGAAGATATGAGCTGAATAGATATTCAAATAAATTCTGCACTTTAGCAGTCAGTTTCACGACTTAAGCAATCGTCAGAAACTGTCAATCACCGTGTAGTAATAATTTTCATGATAACACTGTTCATCTATCTATCTATCTATCTATCTATCTATCTATCTATCTATCTATCTATCTATCTATCTTGTTTCTATCTTATTTCCTTTCTTTTCGTTTCATTCTTTCTCTTTCTTTCTATATATATATATATATATATATATATATATATATATATATATATATATATATATATATATATTTTCTTGTTTTTACCATTATTACCTTTTCATTTTTTTCCACTTATCAGTTTCGTGTTATCTCTCTCTCTTTCTCCCTATCTATCTATCTATCTATCTATCTATCTATCTATCTATCTATCTATCTATCTATCATTACTACTTTTTCTTTTTCTTTCTTTCCAGTCTCTCTCACTCTATCTTTCTTTCCTTTTCGCTTTCTCTCTCTCTATCCTATTTACTTGATTCTATCATTGTTTCCATCTTTTTTCTTTCTCACCCCAGTCTGTCTATCTATCTATCTATCTATCTATCTATCTATCTATCTATCTATCTATCTATCTATCTATCTATCTATCTATCTTAAAAACACGCATATTACATTAGAAGAA